TGGGCTCATTCTTGTATTGTCAACAGCCAGAATTCAGTCTATTAGAGACCATGCATAAAAATGTGGTGTCGAGTATCTTGAACAAAGAATTCTTGGTAACGGTGAAAGCCCATTATCGCGTAGGACTAAAACAAAAAAATATTTTAAAGTACTTTATATAACCTGACTTCAAAGAAATGCAATAATTTTAATTTGAATCCAGCATTTGAATGAAAATATTATATAATTTAATATTATTTAAAATATTAAATTATATACTATATTAATTTTCGTATAGGAAAGTCAGGAACTACTGCAGCAAAACGGTTTTCATCGCTCGTCCTTAGCTTTATGTGCATAGAGTTCTCTTAATTGACATTTGGGTGCACCCTCAAACCGCCCCTGGGCCTGCGATCTTCTACGCCCTCGCGCGGGCTATCGCCCTGCCTTCCGGAGATCAGATCTTCGTCGATACGAAATGAGAATGCCACTCTATGGACTACACTGACGACTCAGGCAGAAACTGGACCGCCGGGTCCAATAACAACAGACAATTGCAAGAACAATGGCTCTACTTGTACTGACCCAGGTTACCGATATATAGAGTGTATCTTGGTCTGAATTCTGCGCTGACCAGACCATGCACTGGGATCACGTTGCATCTGTTCGAATTTTTCTACATCCTACTTCGGTGTAACGATTGGTGTATATTTTTTGACACTCGTTTGTTTAAATCATCAATTGGTGAATAATCGTTACGAAGTCTAACGTTAAAGTTTGTACATGTTTCCCCCGACAAACCCAGTGATACTATAATCAACATGTGGAAGTGACACTGAAACACGTGTGATGCAAACTCTTAAATCTAATAGTGTATTTCCTTTTTTGATGAGTTTCGTGCGTCCATGAACTAGTGCTAGAGAATTGTCCTACTCAAAACTTTCTTAAGAGAAAACTCAAATTATTATTCGTTTAACGAGGATGACGTTTGCAGGCAGAAAAATAAATTAAAACTCTGGTAAGGGAGCACAGCTGGATGGGCGATAACGGCCATGATAACATCAAGAGGCGACTGCTGTAGAACAGCCTATATGTGATAGATGTAAGGGCCCCATGTTTGTTAGACCACACACACTCTGTCATCACCCACCTTGGCGACACCCGGCTAGTAATTCATTCAAGAGATATGAGCTTCCTTAGTTTATATTCAGGTCAAATATAACGAACTGTAATCCTAAAGTAGAGAGTTTCAGAATGAATATCGCCCCTCGATCATAGTTAGCCAGAAATCCTACTAACCGCAATGTGAACCGCGGATTGTCCGCAAAGCAAGCCGACGCCTCCATCAGGTTGAATGTCAGCACACAACAAATCCTCTCAGATCCATGAAACGCTAGAATCCGTGAGCCGATATATTCTTTATATCGTTCGTCAACAAATCCTTAGAGAGCTATACACGAATCGATCAAATTTCGGGTATAAGCACGTAGTTTTTGTACGACACACCTGTTGAATTATGTGTTTTTAAACTAATTAGTCGATTCATACGTTTTTATTTGGCAAAATTTACGTAAACGCGCGACATGTATCTCGAGTGACATCCAAAGTTCAATCCAAGCACCGTAGACAGCATCATCAGAGATGGTATTTCCACGGTTGGATTTCCGGAACACCAGGGATTTTTGTGATACTTATGTGTACATGAGATGTCCATAACGAGGCTGGCTTACAGTGACGACAGCAATCGATGATGTCAGTAATCACTTAGGATGCCAGGTTAAGAGCAATTCTCACAATAAAGTGTAATCAGGTGCACTTGCCGCCATTGGTGATCACGGGTGTCATGGAAACCACGTTTCTCAAATCTGTTAACATTTTGTGTGTGTTGTTTTCTTCGAAGAAAATATTTCTGTGCTTCCTTCTATCAAGATATTCGGCAATTAACTCTGGAAATAAAGTGTATTTATAATGTTCAATCCAAATATGCTATAGTTGAAACAAGCATTCGGCCTTGCAGGATCATTTACAAGCTTATCATTTTACGGATCACCGTGTCTACGAAAAGTATATACATGTACATCTTCAGCACACGCGCCTGCGTGTTTACTCGCGGATCTCATTAAGCGTTCCAATATCCGCACATCGCTTCCTGCACCAACACGTTCACCAGCTACCAATATTCGCGTAGACTTTGATCTCTCCAACAGGCCTACGTACACTCAGAAAATTAATGGGGAATATTGTTTGAACCCTGACGCACTTTCTTAGGAACAGCACGAGCAGAGAACGGACGCAGCAGCGAGACGCCTTTTTGCCGGGCCTAGCTGAGTCAGGATGACCCACACAAGGACAATTAGTGCTTTGCTACTTGGACAAAGTCACACTTATTTCTCTGAGTGTAGAACTCTTGATGGTGGCGATCTAATTTAATGCGTAATATGAACTCGTACAAGGCTTTGCACATTTAATTTGAAATCTTGTCGGATTGTACACCGGCTTTAAACGATATGATATTGTATTTTAATGCGCGTATGTTCTCATCGGTTCGGTGAACTTGAGAAAGAAAATTTCTTCGACAATTTTATCTCTCATGTTCGTTTTTAGCGCATTTTCTCATTTATGGAAAAAATGCACTATTGTGCTCGCCATGTCCGTCTGTCTGTCTGTCCGTCCGTCCGTGACCTCAAGTTATTTTTTCCGTATTTGATTAATTATTTGCATGATTAGTCATTTGACGAGTCAATTGACTGCACTGTTTATCAAGACAATCAAAGCTTTTATTGAACGAGTAAATGTTTGTTTTTTATTAATATTTCAACTTCAGCATTGTATTTGTAGCGGTGAACTCGACAAGGGGAAAAGTGCATCCAAACCACCAAGTCATCAGTATTCTGGAAGAAGCCCAGCCAAATTTATCGGCATTGAAGCCAGGCGCCTGCCTAGCCGCACTCTGTAATTCCTCACAATGACTTCACCCACAATCTTCTCTTTAGCAAGAGCAGATCACGGGAAAAAAGTTTCGTTTGTAGGTAGGATACGGAACATTTTCATCGTGAAGTTAGCGCGTCTCTTCGTACACCGGCTTCTTGGTATGCCGTGAGCATCGCTTTCTTCCTTGTACGAGCCGCCACCCTCGTGGCTAAATTGTAGCAGGATTATCAGCTACCCAGAAGTGTTGTTTTTTGCGACCACTTCATTGAATAAATATTTCAATCATAGCCCTCCGTTTTCTTTAGTTTTTTTTTTTTACCTAATCTAACAATTTTGCTATAAAATATTGCTGAGAGATAATAGATTTGGTATTATAATTCAATTATGGGTGGATGTTTTTTGTAAATATTTTATGACTTTATTAGTCGTTCGTTCCTGACTACACTCTTTAGTTTTAATGTTTACTTTGCATGATAAATTTTGCATCGAAGGTAGTTTTTGTATTTGTGTTTTCTACAAGTTCATGCGAGCAAATGGCTTCAGAAAACCACACAGATACGTCGAACTCCAAAATCCTCAACCAATGAGGAAGCTGCATTTTGGTTCAAATAATGTAGAATTTATTCTGAAAATTTATTATTCTAAAAATTTATTCTGTGCAAGCTCCTGTATATCGCATGCTCCGAAATGACGTCATTCCACTAGAGTTTAATATTTTGTAGTGATTATTTGAATAAAACAATAATTAACGTGAGCCGTCATCTCAATCGCCATGCTGGCTCGAATTCCAAACATGAAATTTCTCCTGAATTTTCTCCCTGTGAGAATTCGAAGACCTTTTTATATCATAAATCATGAAAAATTTGTGTGGGACGAAATATCTGCGAGGAATTATTTCTCGATCGTTGGAACTGACCATCAATTGGAATCAGATCATCCAATTTGAAGCGCACTCAATTAGGCTAGAAATAAAGAAGCTCCAACGACCAAAATTCTCTCGGATTTCCAGCTGCGTCGCATGATCGATCCAGTTAATTCAACGTAGTTTGTCCGCTTCTATTCCGCCAACCCCGAGAATAAGCTCCGTTTTTTCGCCGTGCATTCAATAATATGTGTCTGTCTATGATAAAATGGAATATAATGTGTTTTGACAGCATTTCATTTAAAATTGTTTTGACCGCATTTATTTATTTGGTCTCATTTTATTGAAACAATCTTGCTTGCAGATTTAACTAAATTGTCATCATCGGAACCTTATGCAAATATTTCATATTTTTGGTTCTATCAATCCTCTGGTTTTACGGCTTGTGAGCTATTTGTTTGAACGATTACTTTTATTTGATTATATCACTGTAAACTTCATGCGTACTCTATATGAGAGATTTTACAAATGCTTATACTAATAACAAAGTCTATTTTGCAGTGATAATTTTTTGATCATTGATAATCTTTATGTTTCTTTGTCATAATTCTCTTATTCTTTACGTGTCAATGTTTTATTTCTGCAAAGAATTTAATTTATATTTCGGGACTCTTTAATATGGACAAGAGCAGAGCTGTTGTGTGGGCGCCCAACGCCTCGCAGCCTCGCGCCTTTTGGCCATCTAATGGCCAGAAAATGAGGCCCAAATTACAGACAAGTGGCAACAATTGCCTCATTTTTTTTGTGGCACTCTGGCCTTCTTTTCTGCTCCAGCATGGAAACTCGTACAGTGTGATTGTTATAACTCGTATCTACGTTACCGTTCCCCTGCTTGCTAACGGATTTCAGATATTTTTATTTGATATGCTGGAGGATGAGTTAGGACGACATTGAAAACACATCTGCACTGCCAATGCCCATTATGTCACATCTGAATATTTTATCTTGTGAATATTTTTTTTTTTTTTGCATGACATCTGTCACACGAGGTTACATCTTTTTTTCTGTCGTACATGTTATCGTACGCGTCGAATATTAATGCTCGATCTGTCCTATCTTCATTATTTTGGCTACATTGACGTGCATAACTGCGTAAATATTTGCATTGTGATAATCATAGAGATCAATGATCTTTATTGTAACACCGGGGTTTTTCTTCTCTTTACAGACAATACTGAACTCGATGCACAAATATCAGCCTCGGTTCCATCTGGTTAGAGCGAACGACATCTTGAAGCTGCCGTACTCCACCTTCAGAACCTACGTGTTTAAGGAGACTGAATTCCTAGCTGTCACTGCATATCAGAATGAAAAGGTAAGAGAGATCATGTATGAAGCAAAGAAATGTTTAAATTCGGTGAAATTTGGAACTTTGTGGGGAGTCGTGTATTTACAAGTTGTATGTTCTTCACATGTCCTAACTTGTCAAGGGGTTTAAATGTATCGTTGATGCATCTCTTTTACTGTGTTTTCTTTACTTTAGTTTTTACTTCTTACGGCAAATTTATTTCCTCCTTAAAAGTGATTTTTTTTGCATAAATGAGTTTTATTTTCGTGCGGTTCGCTTCCCTCATTCCACCACATACTGCCCTCGGCCCTTTCTCCTGCTTCTCTTCCTCTTCTACAGCAGCGGTCCCTTATTGATTGGCCGCGCTCACTGGGTTTCTATGGGAAAGACTGGACAGCAAACCTAAATTGTCGGTCAGACTCGCATGTACGTAGGGACGCCGCGAGGCTCTTCAAAGAAATTTTATGACGAGCCTCCAGAATATCTCCTTTCATTCGCTGCATCTGAGACGCGTGTTATCATACGCCGAGCTTTCTTGCTTCCAGAAAAATATATAAATGTTTGCAGGGATCCTAGAAATATTATTTTACGTATGAAAATGTTGCGGCAAGAATGTGTGCACAATACAAGATGGAGATTAAATATACTCTATGTAAAATTTGAAAACATCGTACTGAACGTTTCACTTAGGAAAACTTTTTTCCTAGGAAATCAGTCAGTTCAAACCTTCAGATTTGAGAAGTTCTTTTAGTCACATTCTATCAGTGAATTCCGGCAACGTCTACAGAATTCCGGCAACGTCAAAACTCCAAATTAAATTTAATTTATTTTAGCCAGGCTCAGAATATTGGGACGTGTTAACATGCGTGCGTGTGGCGGTCGCGTGTTGTGATGCGGCTGAGAATGGCACTCTCTCGGCACTGTGCCGTGACGATGTCATGTCACGCCTTGACACTTGACACATATTGCGTGTCACTGTGTCGCCCTGAAGTTTGCAATAATTATACGGCGCTGACTGCCGTCACAGACCCGCAGCCGTATGGTGTTAGAAGATGAGATATTTTCCAGCACAAATAACGATTACACAAAGCCTGCGTGCGTACGTGCGTTGTGAACTTGCGTTGTGCGAATGAAATATAGATATTGTTCCTTTATACTATGCACTTAACTCTGACCTAATCTTTCGTTGTATTTCTAAAAGTTTCATAGCGTGATTTATTTTCAGCATTGTTGTTCTTCACAGCATATTTTGTTAATTCAGACTCCAGACAGAAAATCGAGGAGTAGGCGACCGAACTTCTTTTTAAGTGTATATCAGCTTCGAAAAAAATACAATAAATTTCCCATTGTTTTCTCCAGATAACGCAGCTGAAGATAGACTACAATCCATTCGCCAAAGGCTTCAGGGACACAGGAGCAGGCAAAAGAGAGAAAAAGTAAGCACTGCTAGAATCTGATATAAACTTTTTTAAATTATATTTTAATTTTTACTGTACTGGGATTCTTTTAGCACAAAGTTGGTTATTAGGAATATATACTGCTTCACTAAAGTCTAAATTTTTTTTTTCACTGGAATGATGGCATTATTTAGGATTTACCGCGACTATGTATTCCACTTTTTTTTTGGATACACTGAGTGGAAACAGCAAATAAATGCTCGTCAATTTTAATCTTTCTTTGCGATTTCTGTGATCTCGAGCAAGGAGCGCCTCCATCTTGAAAGTTCCTAGCATTGCCGCCATTTCATTTGATCTTATAATAAGGTAGAGAGGCTTTAGTGCTTCTGTTGGTGCTTATCGACACTCAAGCAAGTAGAGGCTGTATTGACTGAGCAATTGGTAGCAAGTGCACCTGCACATAGCACCGTGCCTATGCCAAGGATTTCGCTAGCGTACACTCGGACCGACAGTGTCACAAAGGCAACCTCAAGTGCTAAGTCTACTGACTGATGGAATTGCTTCTTTCATATAAGCTAGGCTCAATCGTTTCTTAAGTGAATGTAAACAGTCAGTCTCACTGTCGTGCTGCAATATTTCCTCAGCGTGTTGACTCCCTCTACTAGCCTAGGAAGCGCGCCTTACCCCAGACCAAGTAGCGAGCTAAAGCAAAGAGTTCTGTAAAGACGCGCGTTGAGAAAAGTTGCCGTTTCACTCTTGTCATGTTCTACCCAGAAGGCATTCCTAAGGCTTGAATGGGTTTAGCTTTTACATTTCTTGTGTGTAACATGTCGAATTCATTCTATACATTTTTTAAGGTTTTGATTTAGTTTTTACAGGACTGTTCATGTGCAGCTATAAAGTGAATTAAAAATTATTTGGCTTAAAAAATAGTTCAAACAAATAAATCTTGGTAGGTAAGTCAGTAAAATGGATTTTAAACTGATGAAATAGAATTAGTTTCATTCGGAACGCTCGCAAAGCTCACAGATCTAAGCTTAATTCCAGGTATCGAGGGAGAATTTTGCTCACACCTGAATTGTAGGACACTCGAGGAATTATAATTATGTTAAGTTAAGTTCATGTTTTTTTTCACAAATGCAATAGCAGCAGGAACTTCATATGTCCCCATTGTTCAATTTTGACCGAGTTCAATAATAATATTATGAGAAAGCAATAATTTCGATGCCCGTTTAGTCTCCTCAATAATCGGCGAAAAAACATTTGAGTAAAATATCTAGAACATAAATGAAAAATTTGACAAAACATGCAGTAATGAGGATTGGAAAATGAGGATACGAGCAGTAGGATAATCTCTGTTGCACGACCCTTCCTTGACAATAACCTTCTTCTCAAATCTTCAGTTTCTCTCATCTCTACAGCACACGCATTTGCTCTAACCGCCCCAGCAACGGTAGCAACGACATGAAGGTCGACCACCAGATTGCCTTGCCGAACATCCGTGGCTTCGATACCATCGGGACGATGGACTCGTCCGAAAAAGACGAAGAGGAAGAAGAGGAGGATGAGAGAGTGGATGTGGTGGGCAACGAAGAAGATCATCACAACGACGGATCTTCCCATGGTAAGTTGTTGCGGGGAGTTTTATCCACTTTACAGGTTGGGCGAGCTTTTCGTTTTAATTGGATGAATTCGTTATTAAGACTTAAAATGCACTAAAACTTTAGACTGAAGAACATTTTAGCTTTGGTGACATGCAGAGGGTTTTGAACCAAGTAATGATGAAAATTTCCAATTTAAAGTTCTCAATTTTGTACTACCTATATTTAGTATACTTATAATTGAAGTGAATTTTTTCATTCTCTAATGAGAAATTAGTGTATCCCGTTCACAATCTAAATAGCTTCATTGTTATCGTTGGGGTTTCTCTGCTTGCAGAACTTATGGATTCGGACGTGTCTGTTGAAGAGACAAACAACAACGCATCTGAAGACATAGTTCGAGAGACGATGAAAAGAAAAAGTAATTTGGATTCCCCTGACATGGACGAGGTATCAAATCTAGCGGCTTTGAAAAAAGTCGCTTGCGAGAAAGATTCTGGAAGTACCAATCCTGTTGACCCTATTCCTAATATTACAGTTGGTCCGCCATTTCAACCTCCACACCTACTTCCTTATTTGTATCCTCATGGATTGTATCCTGGAATGCCGGCGTTGGCTGGTCTTCCAGGCCTCATGCTCCATGGAGCCTCCGCTGCGTCCGGCTTGAGTCCTTCCACTTTGCAATTTTTAGGGTCTTCTCCAGGGTCTGGTAACCATCACGCTGGTTCTTCTCCGTTATCCCCACCGGTTGCACACAACCTCCTTCTCGCGCACAATCTCCTGGCGAACCACCACCTCCTCGGGTCCCATGCCTATCGAGGATTGGCAGGATTAACAGCTTCAAACACCAGTTTAACCAATTCCAGTTCGCCAACGAGCAGCAGCATCACTGACAGGCTAAATTCCAGCTCTTTAAGCCCTGCTACTCCTGCGACGACTACGTCTCCATCTGCTCCTCTACCTATTCTTCCCGAACGACTTAAACCTCCTCGATTTACTCCATATTTACCTACCTCGTCTACTTCCTCTTTATCAGCCGCATTATCGTCATCTTTGTCCTCTTCTCTGTCTTCTTCACTAACGTCCTCGCTCTCATCATCAGCCTTATCTTCAGTATCCTCTCTGTCGTCATCATTATTCGGGGATTCTCATCTAAGTGGTTCCTCTGCCTTTTCTGCCGTCAGCCCAAAGGCGTCATCGCGATTGGAAGAAGTAGTGCGGCGCTCTGTGGCTTCCCACGGGCATTCTCATGCGGCCACCATCGCATCTGATCTGAAATCTATCGAAAAAATGGTCAATGGGCTCGACAGGCGTCCGGAAATTCCAAATTCGCTCAAGATTTCTGAGAAGTGAAGTCACGCCCCCTGGATTTCGGATTTAAATTTTGTTCCCCAAAGTTTCAGTCGTCTGCTAACGGTTGGTTATTCTGATACCAGTTCGAGCTGCACAGACGAGCTGTAACGTGTGCTTCTCCTCGCTTCAATACCTAACCTCTAAGTCATCCCCATTTCAAATTCTGTTTTGTCCGATTTAACAGTGTTGGCGAGATTTGTCTAAGGTCTTTAAACAGCATAGACTTGGCATCCTCATTAGCCGGCGTACTTGTATGACAAAGCCAACTTATATTACTGCTATTAATGCCCTCTTGATTAGACTGCCTTCAACAGAGCAAAGTAAAAACAAATACTTTTTTGCAAAGAGTCTCTCGACTCTTGGAGGCGGTCTTTGACTGCTCTCTGTGCTGGCACTCTAGTTTCTCTGACATGGATCCTCAAACTTTAATTGCCCCGTTGGCGATTGTCCGTTTTTCCATCAAACGAACGCTAACTTTTCATCTATTTCATCACTTAGAAAATTATTTTCGTAATTGGGTATATTAAGTTTTATTTTTCTGCAAATAAGAATTTTTATTTATAAATTAGGTTGTTATTGTGATCTGTTACGATCATTTATGTTCTCTAATATATGGAGACCATGCAATATTGTGTAATATGCGTGCATGTAATTATACGGAGAGCACAGCATTCGTTACATGTGTGTACAGTGTGTAAAGAATTTTTTGGCGCCCTCCAAATTTTTTCTTTAGTATTCTAGTTTCTTTATCTGTCATAGCTTGTTTAATCGCGCTGTATTTCCTATTAATTAATATTTCTCGTTTAAAAACCACTAAGCCACTACTTGCGGCATACACCAAAGACACAAAGCTGACTTACTTGAAAAAGTATTGTCATTCTTAATAGGTTAGTGCAGCCACGGAATAATTATCATATGTATACATTCATATACCACATAATATCGTCACTAATAAGAAAATACTTAATAAATGTTTTTAGTTAGCGATCAAATGAGAACTTTGGTGTCTTCGATATATTGGCAACTTGTAGAAAAGTAGCGCTTACTAAAGTCCTATGTATAGAGTCCACGGAGCTCTGTTGCGAAAATGTCATACGTGTTTTTCATATAAAAAAACTCGTTTACTCGTTTTCTTATATGTTAATCCACGATTCGAAGAATTAAGTACGGTCTCGCATACATTTCCAAGTTTCACATTTGGCTTTTAATTACTAGACAAAGGTGTTCCTAGTTGAACAAAAATCTTCTCAATCTTATCACTCTCCAAAGTTATAAGATCATGAGGTGTCAGCAGTTGTTCTGAGATAAGAAAAAATAGTGTTCTCTTTATTTTTGAGTTATAATTCAACGTTTACTTTCTATTTATTCTGTAAAATACATTTGAAAGTCATGAGTTCAACTCAAATAAAATTTCTTAATTGTTTTTCGATGTTAGAATGACGGAACTCTTCTCTTAATAAGAACAAAATTTCTGTTCGTTTCAGCATCATCCAAATGTTTTTTCGTATAATGAATTTTATCTTAGTTTAAACACAAGATTCTTTAATTTCTATTGGGTGAGAAAAAATTTTCAGGTGTCAAATAATTTTATCCGGAAAGATCTTAAAAGTTATCTGAAAATTCACATGATAAATGTAATAGTCTGCAGTGGATAGTTTAACATTTTTAAAGTTTGAACATACTGAGAATGTAATACTGAATGTATGGTGTACATCGCTACTCTTTAAAAGTATGGAAAAATCGAAGAGTCACAGCTTGATTTGGAAAATTAATTTAAACTAAACATTACTCATTCGTAAATGCCAACTTCAGATCAAGCTCTTATTATGCCATTAAAAATTTTAAGTCCGTTGCAACAATTTTAAAATCCACCTTGAATTCGCAAGAGCAAAATCAGCCTCTTATACTTACTTGTTACTGGTAACTTCCAGTTGTGAATAGAAGTTCGCTAAGCGTGTGCTTCGTATATAACTCTGAGGAGTCGATCGTCGCCCCAATATGGTCGGTCATAATTAGTGTGAAGAATGTTGCTACGTACAAACAGAGATAAGGAAGCTCCCGTGTACATATGACGGCTATGCTGTAAATACTGGCCCATCTGTTGACTTTGCAATTCATCTCTACTTATAACTGGCAGGTTTATGCTTCTTGTCCTGTATTTAGAATTTTGGAAGGATCGTCAAATGATGGAAATTTAAAACCCCCCGGGTAAGGTGCACTGATTTGAAATAAGGTAATAATTTACTTTTATTAAATAAATTTCAAGAAAACAAATTGTTTCATCAACTGAAGGCTTGAAGAACAATACAGTTGAAATCCAGACCGAGGTTTATTCGCTTAGACATTTCTATAATTTTTGTGTTTTGTTATGTAAATTAACCCGACGTTCATCGTCAGAGTAAAAAACATCTCGCTTTCGGTCGTTGTGATGGATTGGTCTACATGTGTCACCATTCGCTAGATTTCGTCATCTGTCAAAAGTTTTGTAAAATTTTTCCACTCTGAAATGGATTGACAATGCAATCGAAATTACATGGGCTGGGAAAATAGAAAATAAATATTTCGTTGGGCTTTCCAAAGCGAAGTGAAAAAATATGATTGAAGATTCGAAAACAATTTTTGTCCAATTATCGAATGTGTGATTAACGAAACATTGTTCTGCTAAAGCTGGCTTCTGACAAATACGAAATACAGATACGTTTTTTTTATCAAAATTGTCTTCTTAATTTTTCGAATCACGTGGAAAATTTTTAGCTGTTGAAAAACCTCAGAAGTTGGAAAAAGTGTCTAGTTGTGTAAATTCATTCACTTGATTACATCAAATGAATTTCTAAATTGTATGCTGTCAGAGTATGGAACAGTTTACATAAATTGCGGTAAGCTCTTCATGAGTTTGCTTGCATGCTTTCTACCTCCGGAAAACATGAAGTCCATAATATTCTGGTGCTCTGTAGTTACTATATTTACTATGGTATGAAAAAAATGTGCGCAGAATTTTTATGATTTTTTATCATGGTCATCGAGTCTGGATCCTATTAAATATGGCAATATCACTGTTTGTAGATATCCTTGTTTACCCAGCTGTGAATTAGTTGCAAATATGGACAAATTCTGAATTTACCATATTTTAAAAATTAAAATTTCATCGTTTAGCTTAAACTTCACTAGATTTCCAAAAATTATGCTTATTTTCAATAAAATCTCATGTTGTGAAATTATAATAAATTAGTTGAATTCAATCGAAATTTAGTATCGGAATTTGTTAACGAAACTCCTACTGAATTGAATGAATTTACTTTCAGTTGGAAATAATTGAAATATCTAAAATTTCTTCAGTAGTTGATGAAATATTTTTACGACGGTGAAATTGTTCTTAGTGTCGTGGAATTGGTTAATGCAATTTTTCAAAGGAAAATGAGGCCGTAAATTTTATTTGTTGATATTCCTTTTCGTCAATGTTATATTGAACTGGAGTGCAAGATGCTATTTGTGTTTGTTAATTTGTTTAATTTGTATATATCGCGTGGCAGTCACTGTTGCCATCTTACGTGCTACCGAAATATACTCTTTTCTAAATATTCATCTGTTTTGTATCCCTCTGTGTAGTTGCCGCGTCAGGACCAAAAATTTATTGTGCGTTTCTTTCCCAAATGCTCCTTTAATTACATCACAATTGGAAAAGATGGCAAATGTTTAAAGAAATGTTCTTTAAAAGATGGCAAATTTAACTTAAAAGTTAAATTCTATGGTTAAACATTGTGAAGTATAAATAATTATTAACAAAATATAATTATAATTATGATGTAATTATAATTATATTATTAATTATTGATTATAAAATTAGGACTAACATAAAATAATTTTTATACATTTAAATAAGGCAACTAAAGAAGCTGCTCAATTTATTCACATTCAGGATTCGGCACCGATTGTCAGAAATTGTTAGAAAACTGCCATGTACTTCACAGACATCGCCCCCGCGTCCAAACTGTCCACCGCGATGCGAAATGACGCGCGCTGGCCTTCACGTTAGTCGCGACTGTGGACCACCAAGCAGAGACCTCGAAGATGAGATGAGATCTTGAGCACTCCTGCTGGGAACTCGTGTTTACCGGTGAATTAGATGGCAAATGTGATTTGTTTGTTAATGGTTAGTAGAGTGCTAAGGTACATTTTAAACACGCATTATTACTCTTTTTGGAGGTTGTACGGTGTTCACGATATCCGATCATTGGTCAAGATATCAATAAGATGCATGAGAAGAGCATGAAATCCCAAATGGAAGAGGTCAAAATTATCGAAACAATTCGACGATTTCATAGCTCTTTGAATTAATTCTTAAATTAAACTCGGAAAAATTAAAGCACTAACTATTTAATGGCCCGTCTTACGTAAGGAGAAAATTTTGTTAAATGTCGGCAGCAACCCATTTTCTGGTAACGGAAAAAAGTTACGCAATGGAATAAATGATAAGATAAATACTTACAGTTCATATGATCCACTGACAATAGCGAGTACACCATTATTTTCTTATTATTTGACAGTATATTCAACAATTGTTGAATAGACATAGCAAAATTTGACTGGACCTTAGAGTTGAACCAGATCGCACGCACAGCAGATGTGTGCCAGCAAGCTCGTGTTATCTCAACACCAATCTACTCGTTTTCTGGTCACTCAAGTTTTGTTGGAGCGTAACAATAAAATCGATTTCGTACCTAGAGTTTAACACAAACATATAAAACATTACTCTGAAAAGGACTGCAAGCATTATTAACTTTTCCCTGAAATCTACACATGTTCAGCAGACAGATGTTTCACGATTTGATGTCTCCATTGATATGAATATACCACGTCAAGGAGTGAATGAGACTGTGAACTATGGCCATTGATGTCTCACACAACCCACTCGCAAACGTCGTCTGTATATACTGCTCGCGTTGTTCTTTATCTTCAGTTGTCACATCTCATTTTAACGAATATTTTACAAGGCTTGCCATTCATTTTGCTTTGACGAAAGAACGTCAATAAATTTCCAATAGCTACTATGGCTTCGGCCACTTGTACAGAAGTTGATCAACATCACTCCTTGTTGAAGAATTTCCCTGGGAAATGCTTACGTTGAATATAATTGATGAGTGATCTGAATTACGCGACTGGGTACCAAACTAGAGGACATAGCATTGAAGTATAATACCAATTAATCGCATGCTTTAGTATGTAACTCAGAGGCACAAAAAAATAAGAGCCTGAAAAGCCTCGCCTGGGCTTAGCGTCATGCAAATCTTTTGACAGAAATTTCAATCTACTGAGCAAAATTGTTTGACTCTCTATCTGACATAAATTTTGTAGTGTAGCGACCGGATTTAACACCGCTTTCAATAAGAAAATATCTTTCACTTAATTTATCCTCGTATTTTTTCGATCAACACACCTTTCGTAGTTTCAGTAATACATTTTGATTAGGCATTTTTGTATTTAGTTATATATATTTTCCTAAAACAAATAGATAGGCTTCTTGTGAACCATGAAAGTGGATCTTGGTTAAAGACTTAGAGATCGATAGGTAAAACTTGGTTACTGCCTCTAGTATAATTCCGGCGGTGAAGTGAGAGAGTTCTGTCAGTTTACGCTAATCAGATGCTATTTTTTTATCCTATGTGATAGTACGAAAACCAGCTGTGATAGTACGAAAACCAGCTGTGATAGTACGAAAGCCTGCTGATATCACAAGCTTTTGCGCACAGTGGTAGTAGCTCAGAAATTACGGTAGCACAAGCGCGTGAACGTAAATTGTTGCGATTTGCCTGCACTGAAAAGTGCAAATGAAGGTGTCATTGCTAGCTAAAGCTGCAGTGGGTGATTAAATCGACGTTCGTTTTCAGTTTTTGTTTTCTCTAGTCTTGCATTGTCCACCTTCAGTGTTCAAGCAATTTTAATTAAAGATTTAGTTTGTGAATTATTTTCAATTTTCTTGGCTGTAAGATGAAGTTTCTTAAACAGCATCTAGAGGAGAATATGATTGTATATTACAAAATTTGAAGCATCTTGACAATTCTATTGTTGCAGTGAAAACAAAAACCAGTTTCGTCTCACGACGAAAAGTAGGGACTATAGCTATTTAGGCTCGACATGGCATTTTAGGCGGAGGGAGGCAAGCAGGAAAAGGAAGATTAGATCGAAGAGAAACTTGTCAGCCAAAGTAACCATTCCGAAGACGAGAAAATGCATACAAGAAGCAATCGGTAAGTGTCACGTACATCGACGCAATCAGCAAGTTTTTATGAAGGATTGGTACACAAAATTCGCAGGTTTCCTTCGATAAAAATTATTTCGATTATGTTAAGTGAAAAGTTTCAGCGACTGCAATAAGTATTCGTTTGACATTGCAGGTAACATTCAACAGGAATAAAGATTTCTTGTGTCCTTTGATTATCTGTTCACGCCATTTATCAGTAAAGGGTTCTTTTGCGTAAAGCTGTTATCGAAAGTTCACAAATTTATTACCTATTTGGAGACTTTTTTACCACGTTTTTCTTAGCTTCGTTTCGTGTCTGTCTGTCTGTCTGCCATCAAAAATTCAGACCTTAATTTAGAGCTCTTCTGAACATCCTAGAAACTTAAAATTTGGCATGCATGCTTATGCTGCCTAACAATTCAAGTTAACATTTAATAACAATAACATTTAAGTTATGTAAAATGTTATGTAATGTTATGCAGGAGTAAATGTTTTTCTTTTTTGTCCGTTAAGAAAACGTATTTTTTATTTTTTTTATTTTATTTTTTTCAAGTTTTAAAAGTTTTTGCGGTTGCGAATCTACAATTGTTGATTGCGTCAGAAGTTACGTTTAAATATTGCCATGTCTTAGAGACTATCGAACAATTGTCTTTTTATACAGAGAATACAGGTTCAGGAAATATATGTATGTTCGAGTAAGAAATTTAATCAAAAATATTTTACCTTCATTCTTGAACACTTTCCATCTGGGCGTCTATAAGAACTGTTAATGGATCTGTGCTTTTTCCGTAAAATTCTAAATAATCGGGCAAGTTGCACAACCGTTTTTAGAAATTTATGCAAAAGCACTTTAAGATTCGTTTTACTAGTATTAATTGTTGTATTTATCCATGAGTAATTTTTACTGCCAGCCGGACGTCAAACTTTTATTTCATTAGGATATCAAACAAACCGTTTAACGAAATCCGCGCACCATCAAAGTATGTACTGGACTAACGAACGTCAAGACCTTTAATGAGTCAATCTTTGCAGAACAGAGCTGCTAATTTTGATATTATAACATTTATATAAAACATGTTTACTTTTTGAATAAGCTTGGCTTTATATGTAGGTGTCTTGACGAGCACCTCAATGGACGCTAAGAGGCAAACCGAACCCTGTTTTTTTAAAGGAATCTTCTTTCTTGATCATGGCGAGGCCGAGAAGACGTTTAGAGCACCACGCTGTAATTTACGACACCACTTTGCCAGTGCGTTATTGCGACCATTATTTGTCTCCTCTCGAGCTCGCCGAGTCGGGGAGGTTGCGATCGAGGGGTTGTGAGGGAGCGTTTGTGGGGGAATGTTTGGGAGGAGGCGTGTGTGGGAGAATGTGAGAGCGTTTGTGAAGAAAGGTTAGGGAAAGAGTGTTTGTGAGGCAATTTCTGGGAGGGGGCGTCTGTAGGAGAATGTTTATGAGAGCGTTTGTGAAGGAATGTAAAGGAAGAAGTGTTTGTGAGGGAATGTTGGGAGGAAGCGTTCTGAAGGAATGTTTGGGAAGGGATAAAAAATTCAAGAACGGAGCTGATGTCACTGATCTGCCTAAATTTTTTAATGTTTGATAAAAAATTCAGTTCGAACATAAATACTGTACAATAGTTCAATGTGACATTCCATTTGCAATTGACAACATTGCAAGTTTTAGTTTTAAGGTTTTAGTTTCAGGTTTAGTTTTAATGTTATCGTTTCATTTCTAAATAAGTTTTATTTTCAATGCGCCGGCAAGTTTGAACACTGATCAATCGACAATTTCATGTTAAAAACTGGCAAATCCATCTGCGTGCTAAAATATAAAAGTTCAGATTTTAGTTGCCTATTCTGAAATTTAAGAAACTTTAGCGCTAACACTTTTTCTGGACCTCATCACACGTGGATGTGCGAATGGTTTTATGGGCGCAACTCGACGATTTTTTTATCCGGTAATGACTTTATTGGTGCGATGAACTTTAAGGCCTGATCGCTTAACTGGGGCAGCTGCCATCGTTTACCTCGGCCTTACATGCCTTATTTTTTTATTTGAGTATAATAAGACGACTCAATTAATTACGATTATAATTTTGTATTTTCGAGTGCATGAATAGTGCGACTTAATTTTTCGTAACCATTATTCATAATCGAGTAGTGATAAGGGTCATATTTATTTCATTTATTTAGAAGTAATAAGGGTCATATTTATATTTTCTCGATTAGCTGAAGAAAAATTCGCTGATCATCCTTAATGTAGTTATTGTAGTACCTCATCTTTGTATTAGGCGCATAATGGCCGAGATATTTGATATCCTATTAAAACGAATACGAAATTTTTCATGTCATTCCAATAATTAAATAATTTTTCCATCGTCAAAGGAGCCTGAAAGTCTCTAGTTTCCTCTTCATGCGTATTGTATATTACACAACAAATAGACTATTATATTCGAGATATCTGTATGACAGCCATAAAATATTCAGTGTTTAAATGCATACACTAAAACGATTTTTATCCCATGTTTACCATCGATTCGATCAAGTCGAATACAGGAACGTTCATAATTGCATTCTATTCAATGGCAAAGAACAATCAATTTAGCGTGTATTAAATCTTATCACAACAATAATCCAGTGGAATTTTAAAATATGCCGTTTTTCCTCTAATTCTGAAGTGTCGTTGAGTTATATATTCTGTGCGGTATACGTGTCAAATGTTCAAGGATTCTAGATGCTTTTGGTTCACTTGAACTCTACATATGAGCACATGCTCTCAATGCTGCTATATTTCTGGGCGATAGTCAACCTACAATAAATTCAACATGAACGACATGATGACTTTAATGATCACCACATGAACGACATGATGACTTTAACGATCACCTCATTAGTACTGCAACACTAGCCCAGTCATCAGGCGAGGGAGCTGTCCTCACCAGAGGATGTTTGTGTGAATTTCACAACTCTGAATTTACCCAGAATTCATCTATAAGCTTCATTCGGGATATTCGATTAAAGATTGACGGATCACCAAGTTTTGAAACTACGAATTAGACTGCAACAAATTTGCTTATAATATTTTTGTTGTACAGGTTTACATATTTTGAAGAAACATGTTAACAAGATCGTTCAAATTTCAAAATTGCCCTCGAGTGTTGGTGGTCTTCATTTGCTCTCTTGATGTGATCAGATGACCATTGGTATTCTAGCGCCACATTATGTGGATACGGTCACTAGTGAGTGCATGCCTTGCATGTGAATATAACATATAAATATAAATATATATATGTATATTTATATAAATATACATAAAATATAACATATATATATAAATATAACATCAACACATCTAGTGATGTGTTGGTGATTGTGGTTTCATGGCTGGCTTATGAATAAGGTTCATTTTTATTTAAGCTTTAAATAATGCAAGCCAATCATGAATTTTTTTCTTATCTATGAAACAAACATTTTTTTGTAATTCTGCTATGCGTTATCTAGGATGTCGCTATATTTAGCTTATTGGAATCAGCTCTGTTAGTTTAAAATCGCACGCTAAATTGTGACGGGATCCTTAAATATTTATATTATTGATGAATTAAAAAAAAAACAGAAAATGTCAAATTATGAATAAAACGGATTCATTTTTTCTTATATGTGAATAAAAATTAGACAGCTTCAACTTCTATAGAGCATACAATTTTTTAACTAATGGATATCGTTCATTGATACGTTATACGAAGAAAAACACGCTCAGGTGAGGGCTATTCGACCAATATGAGTACTTGAAAAGTTTTATTCAGTACTTGAAAATTTGTTATTCCCTTGCATGGAATTATTATAATTTTTTTACTATCTGTCCAGTTTTCGTCATCATAATGTATCCTGACATACCGGGCCATTAAAATAATTAGAAGGAACACTTGTGAACCGCAAGAGTGTGGGGTTCAAAGGGTAAATATGGTTTATTTTTATTTAGGCTTTAAATAATGCAAGCCAACCTTGAATTTTTTTCTTATGTTTGAAACAAACATTTTTTGTAATTCTGTGATGCATTATCTAGGATGTTGCTATGTTTAGCTGATTGGAATCAGTTCTGTTAATTCAAAATCGCACGCTAAATTGTGAAGGGATCCTTAAATGTTTAATTTATTGATGAATTAAAAAAATGTCAAGTTATGAAAATAAACGAATTCATTTATGCTTATATGTGAATAAAAATGAGGCAGCTTCAACTTCTATAGAGAATACAATTTTTTAGCAAATCGATATCGTTCATTGATAAGTTTTACGAATAAAACACGCTTAGATGAGGGATATTCGACCAATATGAGTATTTGAACAATTTTATTCAGCCTGGCATGGAATTTTTTTTTATTTTTATTATCTGTCAAGTTTTCGTCATCATAATGTATCCTGACATACCGGGCCATTAAAATAATTAGAAGGAACACTTGTGAACCGCAAGAGTGTGGGGTTCAAAGGGTATACATGGAAATTATTAATATATGACACTTCGAAATTAGAATAGGGAAAGTTTCTGTTATCTTTAGATTGAAATTGATTTCAAAAACATGAAATCGAAGATTTGAAAGTAGGAAACTTCAGCATCATCTAGCAATGTTAATGTTTAGCATTTAGATGTTATGTTGAGCATTTCAATGCTAAAAATTACATTCGATGTTTAGTTTTTAGCAGTGTCAATTTAAAAAAGTTCGATCCTCCATTGAAAAAGTCGTAGGAGATTGAAATTTTAAAGCAAAATAAAAATATTTGACAATCTTTCTGTAGTCTGCATAATATTCGTCATTTTTGGTTTGAATCTCAATTAATGCATTAACTACTTTATATTAAATAATCTATGTTAAAAACGATTCCACAACACAAGTGCTCGACGACGTGTCAGCCTTTGTCACCCAGCCGAGGACTGGCTTTGACGATTGCTATTGATTCACATTCATCTGCATGTACATCGTGATTCATGCAATGTATGGATATTAATGGAGTT